CAGCGAAAAGTGTGCCGCCCCGAGTTTTGTTACGACGCGATCCCGTCTGGGAGTCGGCCCCCTATTATACGGCAGGTCCATGCGGCGTGGGGCGCGCCGCCGCGCCCGCTGGGCCGGCGAATGCGGGCAAGATTCATGTCCATATCCAGTGCCTCCTGGACTTTTTTGGAAGCGGCGCCACCAGGCCGAGGCGCACTGGACATGGATGAAAGTCGAGCCTCTAGGGGGCAAATTTATCCATATCCAGTGCGCCTCGGGTTTCTTGGGAAGGAAGCCCGAAACTCCATCCTGCTGCAGTGGATATGGACAGAAGTATTGCCCGCAGCGAAGGCGTTCAAGGTTGATTCCTGCGACGCGGGAGCACCGGATAGGCACGGTTCGCCACCGGACCCGGCTGGAGTCAGCCTTGCACGATCGAGGCTGCGGTCGATTCAAGGTGGAACGGTCGACGCGGTGTCGAAAACTTTTGCGCGCGCCGACGCCTCACGAACCCACAGTCGGGTCGCTGAAGAAGGAAGCCTTTTCGTTGGGGAGGGGCTCCGCGTTCCTTGATTGCTTCACAGCTTGCCTGAGGTGTTCCTTCTGTTTCCAATGGGAAATCGAAGTTCAGCTTATGGAGAATAAGGGGGCCTCGTTCCTCATTTGGGGTTCCTTCGGCCAACGCCCCGACTGTAATAGAGGATGACGATTCATAAATGACCGGGGGTCGTGTTCACGCGGCGGCGCCCGGGATATTAGAAGAAACCGGCCGCGGGCTGGAAAACTATTCTTTTTAGTCGTTCTCCTCCAGTCAGAAAGTTGTGCAGACATAGCAGAAAACTATGTCTTTAATCATTCTCTCCCATTTTTTGTATTCATCGTCATCCCGCAGTTCCGCATTCGAGCCGCCTGCAGCGCGGCGCGCTCCGTGCGCTCCGCGCCGGGGCGGGCGGGCCGGGGCCCCCCCCTCCGCCGCAGCGGGGGGGGGCGCCTCGTCGCGCGAAGGGCGGGCGCCTCGGGCGCGCGTGCGCGGCGGCGGCGCCCCGGGCGCGGCGGCGCCTCCTGGCCAGAGGCGAGGAAGCAAGGGCTAAGTCGGGCGTGTCCCTCTACAGGAGGACTCGTCAAAAATAGTCAAAAAATGTTTGGGGACAATTCATTCCGTATTTATTGTATTTTTTCTGGTATTTTGGTGGTGTTTTTTCTCTCAAGACCAAAAAAAACTAAAATCCCCCTGTAGGGGGACAGGCCCGACCTAAAGCAAGGGATCAAGCAGTGGCGAAGCGTCCCAGCTTGCCTATAGGCTGTAGGCCCACCAAAGGATGTTCGAATGTTCTAAGAGCCTTGTGTGGTCTGCACGAGCTGTTCTTAGAACATGTATGGTTGAAGTTGTTTTGTTTTGACACATCGGACGTGTGCTCTAAGGACATTGCTTTTGTTATTCGAAGGCTTTAGGGGTCTGAGACAATTTCGTGGTAGGCCTATAGGAATGCCGGGACGGTCGGTCCCCGCTCAAAGGGAGGAACAGCCACCCCGACCCCACTAACGGCTACGCTTGCAGGGGTGCTTATTGTGGGGGTGGTTGTTCTGCTCTTTGAGAAGGGTGCAGGTGCCGCTGCCCTGGCCTCGTTCTCGCCACCGTGGGCCCCCTGGGAGGCCCTCGTCGCCACCGCTGGGTTCGCCTCGAGATTCTGGTCAGAGCGCACCCCGGGAGAGGGCCGGGGAGCAGCGGTTTCAGTGCCTTTTCGCCTCCCCACCTCGAGGGCGGCAATGTCGAAGGACGTGAGGACCGCTCCCCGCTGCCCGCGCGCGGCGTTGCCTCGGCGGGCGATGTGTCTGCCTCCCATCAAGGCGGGTGGTGGGCTGTGTTGGGGTCCTTCACGCCGTGCTCATCGCCCTCATCTTCACGATCATCCTCACCCCCTCCACCCCTCCCCATCTCCACTCTTTCTTGCCACCCTCCTCCGCCTCCTCTTCCGATTCCGCCTCCCGAGACTTGGGACACATTCTCACCTCTCCATTAGCATTCGTCGTCGTCGTCGTGCCGCCCCCACCTCGCCGAACTCTTGCCGGCTCGCCCCCCCCCCCCCCCTCCGAGGAAGCCCGAGTTCTGGAACAAGTTCCTGCAGCGGCCAGAGGTGCAGGCGGCGGATGGGGGGAAAGGGGGGCCAGCAGGCCGGGAGAGACAGAGGAGGGGAGCGCAGCGAGCAGGAGCAGGCGAGAGGTCAGGAGAGGGGGAGCAGGCAAGCCAGGTGCGCTTGCGCCGTACCGTTGATCCAGCCGCATCCGACATCCGACCCGCCCGTCCCCCTTCCACATGCGCCGGCTAACCTTCTGTCCGCCGGCTGGGTTGTCCCAGGCGACTCGGTCCCCCCAGACGGAGTGCGCGCCAGGGGCGGGGAGCTCGAGTGGCAGCGGGCCGCAGTGGAGGGGACGGGCATGTCAGGGTGGCAGGGGGGTGACCGGGGGGCAGGCTAGTAATATGCCCCCGAGATGTTCCTGCGAGGATTCGGAGAGTGTCCTGAGATATCGGGTGTACCTCGAGAGGGTTCCCAGATGACTCCTGAGAGGCTATCGAGGAGCTCCCGGAAGGCTCTCGAGGGGCGCTCGGGGGAACCTGAGAGGCTCCCGGGAAGCTCCTGAGAGGCACCCGAGAAGCTCAGAAGGTCCTCAGAGTTTCCTCATGGCGTTTTGCGAGGGCCTCGCGAGGCTCTCGAGAGGCCAGTAGGAGGCTCCTGAGAGGCTCCTGTGGGTGTCACGAGAGGCTCCCGAGATGGCCCTGGGAGGCTCCAGGGAGACTCTTGAGATGCTCTTGAGAAGTCCTATTGGCAGGCAAGCGGGAGAGTCCTCGGGGGCTCCAGGGCTGCCTCTGAAAGGCTCCCGAGAGGGTGCTGACAGGCTCCTAAGAGGGTCCTGGGAGGCTCCTGACAGCCTCCTGGGAAGCGCCCGAGGGGCTGTAGGTGGGAGCAGTGCTTCGAGGAGAGCTGCGGTGGCCCGCACTGCCACGCTGGCGAAGAGCCAGGCGTGGGACGAGGACTTGACAGGCCTGTGCAGGATTCCCTTTGCGAGGGGGTTGCGCTTTGAGCTTATCTGGTGCCGTGATATTGGTACGCCCTTCGGCGAACAGTTCTGTTTTTAAAGGGGTGATCTGGTAGATTCTGCACGAGGGTCCTGAAAGCCAAACGGTCTCGGACGGATGTTGCCCCGATGCTGGCACGCCCGCTCGAGAGGCGCCCGACCAGATGGACATGAGCGTATGATCGGAGGCGGTGTTTCTCCCCCTGTCCCCGGGGGTCCGCCCGCAAAGCTTGGCCGCTCAGAGGTGCATGCAAACCTTGGGATGAGGACTATCCGGACGCACCCCTTATCGAGGATGGGCGCCCCCCCCCCTCGCACATCCCAAGGCTGGGCCCCAGACTTCTGGCCCGCTCGAAAAGCTCACGCGAAGCCCAGGGCAGGGGATCGACCGATCCCCTTTTCCCACGACGGCAGGCGTGTCGGCAGGGCGACGTCAGCCGCGGGGGCTCTTACTGAGAGAGGTTCTGTGAAGGCGCGACGGTGTCCTCCTCCTCCTCCTCCTCCTCCTCCTCCTCCTCCTCCTCCTCCTCCTCCTCCCTCGTCTCCCCCCCTCCTTCTCTCTCGGTCAGCCCGCACCGTGAGGATGGGCGACCTTCCCAGGGCTGTCCACCTCGGCTGCGTCGTTGCCGACGACTGCGACCACGACTACGACTACGACTGCGACCACGACTGCGAGGGAAAGAAACACACAGACACAATTAAACGTCGACTCCCAGGAAAATATGCAAAAATATGGGAAGTGGTGGGGAAGACAAAAACCCAGAAAATATTGGAAAATATGGGGGACATTTTTATTTGTGTGTATTTATTTGTGTGTTCCAGTTCCCCTTCAATCCTCGCCTCCTCGGTCCATCCCGGCCCACTTTCGTTGGGCGCGCTCCGCTCGCAGAGTGTCGACATGGCCGCCGGGACTCTAGGAGAGGAGAGCCTGTGAAAGCGAGAGACGGCACAGCCAACCCTCCTCGTGGGGATCGGCAGCCTTACCAAGGCTGCCCTTCCATCCCAGACCCCCTCGAGTTTTGACAAGAATCGCAGCGGCAGATGTTTCACGAGTTTCTGCATTTGTGGGCCCTGACCGGGCCTCAGGACCGTCAAAGACGTCTCGGGGCGAAAAATGGGTCTCGGGGAGTGGGTCGAGACCTTTGGGGGTCACCGTTACGAAACAAATGACGTCGGTGGTCTGGGATCCTTGGCCCTTCGGTCCATCCTTGGCGACTATCGCTGGCCAGCCCCGCTTGAAAACGCCAGCATGGCCTTCAAGGCCCTTGCATCCTTACCGCGGCCAGGGTCGTTGCATCCAACAGGCCCTTGCAGCCAAGGCCCTTGCATCCTTCCCCCTCGGCCCATCCGCCTCATCGCGCATCCTTCTAACACGGGTTGACTGTTGGAGAGGACCGGTGGAAGCGACACGGCATCAGGGAACAATCCTTGTCCTGGGCATCGCTCGGGCGTGTGCATTTCTCCTCCGGCGAGGAACATCAAGGAGAATCCTGGATCATTTGGCGGAAAAGCCACGCACGAAGCCGAACAAAAAACACAGGGAATGGACGCCCGAGCGATGCCCAGTGTCGCATCACAGGCCGCGAGGCCGGAGGCCTGGGCAGCCGGGAGTTGCCATGCCTGGCGTCTGCCCTCCGAGCCGGGCGCTGCAGTGATTTCGCGCCGGGCGTCTGCGCCGGCCCTCGGGCCCTTCAACAAGCAGTGGCGAAGCGTCCTGGCTCGCCTGTAGCCCTACCGAACACTGTTCTAAGGACCTTTTTCTGCTTCCCACGAGATGTTCTCGGAACAGGTCTGGCGGGGTCTGTCTTGTGTTATCACATCGGGTTTTTGTTCTAAGAACGTTGTTTTTGTTCTTGGAACATTTGTGGGTTCTCATGTCGTGGTAGGACTACAGGAGTGCCGGGGCGGTCGGTCCCTGCTCGAGCCCCGGGGGCCCTCGCAGATCGATGCGGCCCGAAGAGCGCCACGGCCAGAAGCAGGGCCGGGGGCTCCGGGCCTGGTCTGCAGTGGGGGCCCTGAAGAAGGAACCCTTTTCCTTGGGGAGGGGCTCCGTGTTCCTTAATTGTTTCGCAGCTTGCCTTGGACGTTCCTTAGGTGTTCGATCCGAAAATCGAAGTTCAGCTTATGGAACATAGGGCCCTCGGTCCTTATTTAGGGTTCCTTAGGTCAACGCCTCGACTGTGCAGTGGGGGCGCGCATCGAGGAACCCTCTGCTTTTCCTCAGGGTGTCCTGGGTTTCTTCGCTCCGCGCGCCGCGCGGTGACTTCCCGCAGCCGTTGAAGAAGCTGCTGCGCTCAGGGTGCTCCCGGTTTCCCTGGGGGGCCACACGCGAGCCCTACCCCTACCCCCCACGATTTCTGAGGGGGAGGGTGGGGTTCACTTCGCTCGGGAGCTCCCGAACGAAGTGAACCCCACCCTCCCCCTCAGAAATCGTGGGGGGTCGGGGTAGGGCTCGCGTGTGGCCCCCTATTCCACTCAGGCGCACCTCGCGCGCGGGCTTTCAGGGTTGGGTTTCTTGCGAGGGTTTCTTGCGGCCGCGCCCGCACTGTAATGTCGGATCTCTGGGCCGGAGTGGGTCTAATCGGTGTTTTTGGCGATCTCGTGGGCCGTGTTCGTTTCGAGTTCGTTGTGCGGTAGAGCGGTAGAGGCGGATACGAGACAAAAGCGAGGGAAAGTGAAAACAAAACGAAAACGAAGAACACAGTTTAGGTTCAGCCCTGTCTCTGGGCGCTGTGCTTGAGCCCCCGGCCGCGGAGCAGGCCGTCGCGAAGAGGAAGCTGCGGTACGAGTCCTACGCGGAGCAGGCCGCGAAGACAAAAGCGGACAAGTTGGAGAGGAAGCAGCGGAGGCCTCCGGGCGCAGAAAAGTCGGCCATCCACCGCCACCCCTTCAGCCATGCAGAGACTCTCGTGCGCCAGCTTGGCCAAAGCCACAGCTCCCAGGCCGCACGGCGCACGTTACTTCCGACTCCGCACAAGAACTTCTCGGTTGTGAGAGGCAGGAGTTTGCGCGCAGGCGCAGTTCATTGCGCGCGCGGCACGGGACACACAGCCCGCGCGAGGTCGATGTTCGTCGTGTGCGTTATGTTGCCATCTCCCTTCCTCCTTCTCCTCCAACACCTCCCTCGTTTCTTTTCCGTCCTCCCTCCTCCTCCTCCTCCTCCTCCTCCTCCTCCTCCTCCTCCTCATCCTCCCCCTGACGGTTTCCGAACATGCGGCTCACCCTCAAGTTTACACAGTTTTCCCGAGAGGGAGGTGAGGGGACTTAGTGCCACAAGCCCCCTACGTTCCATAAAGATGTTGTTTTTGTTCACGGGGTTCGGCACCGAGCTGCAGCGGACCCATAGGGCTCAAGCAAGCCAGGGACACGCAGACTGACCCCCTGCTGTGCCGGTAACGCCGCCAGCAGCTACCGAGCTCGCAAGGCAAGCGTTAAGTCGGGCATGCCCCTCTACAGGAGGAATATCCAAACATGGTTCAAACATATTCTGGGGTCGACTTATTGATTATGTTTAACTATCCCTGAATATTTCTTGATCGTTTATTTTCGGCCCAAACCCCCCAGTAGGATAACATGCCCGAACTGAGACATGCGAGTCGAGCCCCCGTCCCTAGAGAAGACGACTCACCAGTTACCAAGGCTCCTGACTCCGACACCGACTCCTCCTCCTTCCTTCATCTCTGGTCCTTATGCTCCCTGCCGCACCACCAGGCGCGTCCGTAGTGCCGGGCCGGGCGTGTCGCTCAAGATCTCTTCACGATGCAGGAAAAGTTGACTTTTGCAATCGTTTCAAAGATGGAGTGCATGCCGTTTTCAAACTGTGGCGCTCGCCATAGCGCCGCGCATAGTTGTCTTGGTCGTCCGTTTTCGAATGTGGCTCTTGCCTTCGCACAGCGCACTTTCGTCAATTAAGTTCGCAACAGCTTCAAGGATGGAGGGCGATTCGTTTCCAAAATGTGGCTCTCGCCCCATCGCCGCGCACGCTCGTCTTTTGAAAGGCCGCAGCAGTTCCAGGAAATTCGTAGGGGTGATGTCCAGAAGCGGCATTCTGGCGCAAGCTAGGGTTGTTTGGACGCAACAGTCACGTTAATGCGGTATTGAAGTCCAAGGAATGGCGGTGTGACGCGGCTGTAGACTGTCAGGACGCAACAGTGACGTCCTAGGAAAGAGTTGTTGACACGATGGAAGATTATCAGACGGTTGTCTTTAAATTTGGCACCGCCCTCAATGGAAATAACTGCTTGTAGGGACTTCTGAAAGGGGGAAATTGGAGGGAGGGTTTATTGCAACATCGTTGATGCGTCTTGGATGTATACTGGTCCTCATGCTCATTGTCATTCCTTCTACTCATCCCTCATGCTCCTCCGTCTGACTCCTCCTTCCTACTCCCCCGTTCATGCCCCTCCCACGCCTTCATCCTCCATCCGTCCACCCCTTCTCGTTCTT